GCCATATTGGATTTCAAAATGGCGTCAGATATTGATTTCCGGTCCCTACACGTCACCCTGATTCCAAAAATACCCATATTGTGGGGTATATGACAGAATTTCCATGTTTTTATGCTACCGGAAGCCGCCATCTTGGATTTCAAAATGGCGTCAGACATTGATTTCCGGTCCCTACACGTCACTCCGATTCCAAAAATACCCATATTGTGAGGTATTTGACTGAATTTCCAAGTTATTATGATACCGGAAGCCGCCATCTTGGATTTCAAAATGGCGTCAGACATTGATTTCCGGTCCCTACACATCACTCCGATTCCAGAAATACCCATATTGTGAGGTATTTGACTGAATTTCCAAGTTATTATGATACCGGAAGCCGCCATCTTGGATTTCAAAATGGCGTCAGACATTGATTTCCGGTCCCTACACATCACTCCGATTCCAAAAATACCCATATTGTGAGGTATTTGACTGAATTTCCAAGTTATTATGATACCGGAAGCCGCCATCTTGGATTTCAAAATGGCGTCAGACATTGATTTCCGGTCCCTACACATCACTCCGATTCCAGAAATACCCATATTGAGGGGTATTTGACAGAAATTCGAAGTTATTATGTTACCGAAAGCCGCCATCTTGGATTTCAAAATGGCGACAGACATCGATTTCCGGTCCCTACACGTCACTCCGATTCCAACAATACCCATATTGTGGGGTATTTCACAGTATATCCCAGTTTCCCAAAATCACAAAAAAAACTCGTTATTTGGAATTTACTTCGTAAAAAGAAAACTCGTTATTTGGGATTTACTTCGTAAAAAAAAACCTCGTTATTTGGGATTTACTTCGTAAAAAGAGGGACGTAAATTGAATACTGCGTAAAAAAAGACTTCGTAAACGGAGGTTTCAGTGTATTTTAAACAATCCTTGTTCACAATTGAATTCAATGAATAAAAATTAATATTAACTAAAACATTCCTTTTTTAACAAGGTAAAAAAAAACTAAATATTTGTCATGGCTACCTAGATAACCGTAGAAATGGCTAATGCGATATCCATAAGATTCAAATCACAAAGGATACATTTTTAAATGTAATGTTTTGAAAAAAATGTTCTAGACCCCCCGATAGAACATTTCGAGGTTAGTCTCATTTGAAAGGGGAGAACATAAGCTTTCGTTTGGTGAGTATTTTAGCGATACTGATTTTTTTTATTAATGTTTTCTACCAGAGACACCATCGCCATTATAATTAGCCATTTCAAACCAATTTCGTGGCATTTCACGAGATTATTGAAATTTTTGGTTGCGGTTGGTTGAGCTAGCAAAAGAGGCGGTCCCATTTGAGTCATCCACTGTGCACTGTGCGGCTTGCGAGAAATATTTCTTATAATATTTAGAAGCTTATTAAAGCATTTACATCGTCGGCGCATTAAAAATTATAACGGCGGCGCACCGACTCAAAACCATCGGCGGCGGTGGCGTATGAAAAGTGTCGGCGACGGCGGCGTGGCGCGGCAGCGCACAGGTCTAATCACAGATGCACAACACATACCAATATGGCCAGGCCCACTGTGCGGCATTTAAGGGATTGATGATTCAGAAACATGGGACCTGTTTTAATCGAATATTTTTTAAACACGATGGTTTAGAACTCAATAAATGGATGAAACGTGGGCATCTCGTACCGTACGTTTCGTTTTTAGTAATTTTTTGGTTGGTTGGTCGTTGAAAGCATCTAGTCTAGAAAGGTTATGTGATGCTCTATTTTCCTTTAACGGTTGAGCAGTGGCGTCCCGTAACCTCACTTTTTACATGTGCACCAACTTTCAAAACCAGATTTAATGCCATATTCATACTCGAATCGGTTGAAAAATACACTTAATCTTCTAGTTTACTCGATATCTATCCATTGCAAGCAATATTTTGATAATTGTTTATGTTTTGAGAGTTGGTGCACAGGTAGATTGAGGTTAAGGAAACGCCACTGCAGTTGAGACATGAGCACTAACTTTTGTCCTAGCCCTATATGGCTTATGGTTACAGGGGTTACAGCATCCTTACTCGCTTTCTGAAAAGAGAAGAGGGCAACACGGTAACCGCAAAATACCCAATAATGACCACAAAGTAAGCATTTTCGAGGGAGACTGGGACTACCCATTAAATGAGTAAACATATTACCCATTTATGAGTATTTGGTACTCAAAAATGAATACTTACTACTTATTTTAGTAGTTGTAATTACTCATAAATGGGTAAAATTTTACTCATTTAATGGGTAGTCCCAGTTTCCCTCGAAAATGCTTACTTTGTAGTCATTATTGGGTATTTTGCGGTTACCGTGAAGAAGGAATGGAAAAGGTATAGGGAAAAATTAGCTTTGTGGGCAATTTGAACTGGATTATCTCTGTGTGTGAGTTTATGTCTTTACTCCAGCTGACCAGTAGTCAGTAGTGGCAATATAGAGATAATCATATCTGCATTATCAATGGATTTTCATTCCCACCAGCAATTGTTCGCAAAATAATATAAAATTTGAAATGATCTCACCGATCTCTCAAAAATTACGTGGTCCAGATCGCAGTAGAAACCAGAAGAGCAGCAACGCCTCTATCGATGTATGTGACGCTGACCATCTTCGTCCTTTTTCTTTTTCAGCTCGGAAACATAAATGCACAGGAGCTACTACTGCTTTTCGAATCTTCAGCCTTCAGCTGCTCCGAAAAACCAGAGGTTACCAAAAAAAAGTACCGCTACACTTCGCAACCCGTAAATTTGACTCTTGAAATGTGCACTAGAAAATACTAATGTCACGGGGCGACCGAAAACAGCGTAAAACCCGAATCACAGATCTCAAGACCGGAATTTTGTTAAAAATGCTTAGTTTGGCTTTAATTTCTTAACCTCCCGCATTTTATATAAATGCCAGCCAAAAATCGAAAAAGAACGCGTCGAAAAACAAAAACGAAAAATTTGCCAACTGGAACATTTAATGTCCGTTTAGAAACAGGGCAAACTTCGATCTCCTGGAAAGCGAAAAAGATTAGAAGAATACTACACGCTATTTCAAAACTACCAAAATTTGGGTAGAATTCACCCAGATCTGCCAAAACTGACCCACCCAACAAACATTGAAAGTTGAATAAGAGCTTATTCAGGCAAAATTATGCTTCTTTAGCTAAAAAATAGCTTATTCAGCTTTTAATCAGCTCAAATTGTTTGCTGGGCAGATCTGCCAAAAGCGAATCAATCTTCTTTCATTTCTCGCATCTACTTGCATTGCGCATTATATTTTTGCCGGGAATTTTCAGAATCGTCATCTATCTTCTTTCTATCTACTTAGCGTGCACGCAGCTAACCACAGCAAACCACAATCTTTCCTACATCGTAGAGAGTCGCCCCCTTCGAGCATTCCCTATGTAATCTCCCCGGCGGTAGAAAATTTGATTTCCCTAAAAGATACGAATACAGATTCCCTTGGAATTATTATCATATATCTTTCGGAATCCACGTCAGAATCCTTGTGGAGTACTTTTGCGAATACCTTTGAAATTTCGAACAATTTTTGTTGGAACTATTCTCAGAGTTTCTTTGATTATAATTTACTTTAAAATTTCCCTGGACTTGTGTGAGAATTTATTTTCGAAATTACCATGTAATTCTACTCATAACTCCCTTCGCATTCGTTGTTCTTAAGTTCTCCTCGCAAAGACAAAGGAATTATTTTCAGAACTACCGTAAAATTCTCCTCGTAGGCCCTTAATAATACTTTCGACATTTCCCAAGGAATACCCTTTGAGTTATAAAGCATAATAAATTAATCCCCAGGATGTCAGTGTTTTTTTCAAACTCCTTCCCCCAGACAAAAATCCTGACTGCGTAACTGAATCAATCCAAAGCATTTCTCTAAGCCAAAAAATAGCATAGACTCAAAGCTTGTTCTATGAGCCCATTTTTATGAAACCCTCAGCTGGTAAGAATTTGACCAAAACCGAACAAGGCCATACCAACCGATCAATTTAAGATGAGCCTCCACCGAGATAGCTATTCAGATTTATTGTCCATCCTACCTCGAGCACCGAACCTGGATTGAATATATTAAAAAGAAAGAAAAGGATCCTCCGGACCCATTCTCCGACCATACATTTGAATCACAATTGAATAAACACCTTTCGTTTGAAACCGAGATAAGCAAAAGACCAACGACGAACTAAAATCCGTTCCGAAATCCCCAAACTGCTGAAAAATTCACGCCAAACTATTTCCACTCACACACGCCACACACCCGGAATCCATTAATTCTACGAGGATACGTGTCCCGAAACAAATCCAACTTCTTCAACTTTCTCCCACGTCTCATCGGTCCAAATCCGAACCCATGCTCTGTCTGCCATTGGAAAAGGAGTAAAATTTTCATAATCCTGTTGCTTGTTTCGTCCTCCCTTCCCGACCGGGAATCTCAATCGAAATGGATGGTAGTCCTCCAAGTGACTGTACCCTTAGTATATATCAGAAGTGGTAAATATTTGCATTTTGTCGCCCTCCCCCCTTTGAAGCTCTAGGATGATCACTTTCCCATCTAGTTGGTATCGAGCGTGTGAAAGTGAGCCGCTCCCCTACCCACATAGTAGGCAGCCCGATGAATAGACGGCACTCGCTTGCTAGGATGCATTCGAATGTGCTCGCTCACTTGCACGTTTGGTCGTAAAATAATCCGCAAAGTATAACGGCAGACGTGTCAAATGGAAGTGAAAATGAGTATTCGGATTTCCCAGCTGGGACCGCAGAATGATAGCACTTTTAGAGTTGTACCTAGCCGTAGAATTAGATGGGATCCACGATGGAGAAATGGGATCATCACGCGAAAGAGAAATTATAATGGCTCTTCTTGGCTGAGCAGAACGGACTGTGCATTGGGACACCCTTGCTGCAATAACTCCGAATGGGGGAGGGGAAAATTGCAATAATCTTATAGCTGGGGCTTTGCTTCGGATCTTTACAGGTATTTTTCAACATAGGCGGACGAGACGAGGTGGTTGAAACGCTTTGTGGAGATATCCTGCCGAAGCCAATCCTGTCCAATGGAGCACGATTGCTGTTGGAGTTCCGTAGCAGCTTCAATAATACCGAAAACAAAGGATTCACAGCGGACTACCACTTCCTGACAAGTACCTTGTTCATGGTTTGAAATTTGCTACCCTCAATGATTGATCAATTATTTCTTCAACAGATTTCGGTGTTTCAGCCGGCTATCAACCGAATCAAATGGAGTGTTCTTTTCACTATTTCAAAAATGCCACCAGCCAGGGTTGGATCCAGTCGCCAAATTTTCCCGGTGCCTATCCAAGGTCAGCCATCTCTGCTTATCTCACCTTGAATCCAAGTGTGCTGTGGTTTGTTGTATAACTGACACCTCGCTACTCAAACAGCTAAACCAATTATCATGCATCGAAGCAACCGTCTTGCGTTCATTGTCTCCACTGCCTAACTCGATTGGCTCGCCGTCGACGTCGGTGAGAGAGAAAGGAAAAAAAATATTTTTAACCACACCGCCACAAGAAAAACTTCAACGACCATCAAATGTCACTTTCATCCATTTCGATCATCGTCATCGTCATGGCCATCATCATCATCATCAACCATTATCCCCACGAGAGTACGCGAGTGTCATGTTCACTACTACACTTTCCCGACCAGACACACAAGAAAGAAAAAAAAACCCGAACTGAACTTCTTTCTTCCCGTTCTTTCTTTTTCCGCTTTCGTTTCCTCTTTTTCAACGCCCACCCACGCGCGCACACCGGACCGGAAACGCTAGGAACATTCGCTGCAATTACTACTTCCACGGCGATCCGCTCGATTATGTCCTGATCCGGTTCACCTACTTCGACATCGAGGGAGTTGCCCCGTAAGTAAAATACGCCGGTTGTTTTGAGTTTTCCCTCCCCCTTTTCCTACATTTATGTTGACGCATTTTCCACCTACAGCCCCAGATGGCTATGAATGGCAATGACGATAACGTGGCAACCAATTTCGGTGTAATTGAGATAATGGCCTACTGAGAGCCGGAATTATGCGGTGGGGAGGTGGAATATGTACTCCAGAGTGCGGTGGCAAGCAAAGCACTTGTATTTAAGTACTGGAACTAAGTGGGCTCTGCGTAGTGCAACAGAGTGGATGGAAAATGTGTATGCTTTTAAGTTAAAATTTGTGTAAATGAGATGATCAACTTCAGGGAACCAAATACTAGGAAAGATTCTAAAGAATTGGAAATGTGTCACATGGAAAAGGTCACCAGTTCCAGTTTCCTCTATCGTGAACTTTTCCAACGCTGCTCATCAAAATTTTCTCATACATTTTATTTGTCAAGGCTCATTTGCATTAGCTTCACGGAGCCGAATTTCAATTTTTGTTGCTTTTTGGGGTGGTTTGGGAAGATGAAGCGGTTGTTTTCAAAATTTCTGCTAATGAGCACTTAGAGCGAGCTTCCAAAGACCGCTTAAGAGCATTTCTAGCTCAAATCGTTAAAAAAATGTCAATTTTGTCTCGACCCCTTCTGATTTGAATGAAACATTGCTCACGTGTTCGCTGCTACTAATGGTTGCATTTTTCATTTAAATATGATTTTTTCCTCCAGAGTAACTTTTGAAAAGGGCGTATAAAAAAAATTGAATTTTTTTTTTCAAAAAATCATAACTTGAAAACTATTGATCTGATCAAAACGGCATATGACAAGAAGTTTTAGGTAATTAAATTATCTTTGCGGAAAAAATACACTGAAAGAAAAAACTTTGTGAATTAGTATTTAAAAAACGTAAAACGATGATTATCTCAAAACACCCCCCCTTCGATCTTTATAATTTTTTTTTTTCAAGAAAATTGATGGAATACCCTTAAATTTCGTGAAAAGTGTATGCTGGTAACTTCCTTAAAAAGAAATCTATAATCTTTTAAATTTTTGTTGATTTTTACAAGTTGATGAAAATGCATATTTTTTTGAAAAATAACAATTTATTTGGATTCTACGCATAATTTTCAATAACTTTGCATGTGGAAATTTTTTCCTAAGTTCAGCCGTTCTCAAGTTAATGCAAATTAAAAAAAATAATTACAACAATTTTCAACATTTTAGGCCATTTTCAAATGTTCGTCGCTATGTCCAGCAACGAGATTTTATTTCATGATTGTATATTAAAAAAACAAACAATTCATTCTCAGATATGGTAGCTGTCAGACTTACCCGTTTCTATCTAGAGGCAGCGGAAGAGAAGCACGTTGATGTGGTCAAATGAAAGATTTGTTGAGATAAAAAACAGTATATATTTATTTTTTTATTTTACAACTCATATTATTTGAATACATTGAATAATTTGGGTGTATCGTTTGAATTAGAGAATATTTTTACTGCAATTTGGTTTTTTTGAAACTGGAATATAGCAATGATATTTTCGAGTTCCAGGAATTGGTTTCACTTTCTTAAAAATTGGATCAAATTCCGTGTCAGCCTTTTTGTATTCTTCCGTAGAAACATAACAAAATGACATTTTTGTTTGAAGATCTTCTTTACGACTATTTGCCCAGTCGTACAGTTGTTTAGGGTTCGTTATAGGGTGCTCGTGTTGCTTAGCTAAACTTGCTCTGGTTGCCATTCTCTTAAGGGTACCGCCAATCGCATCACAATGACCTTTGCCGTGTGAAGTTGCAAAAAAATGCCATTCAATTTCTACATTATGCTTATCTTTAAATCCACAAATGCTTGCAAAATTTTTTATGTTTTTGTATTGTGATGCTGCTCCATCTGACATAAAAATACACTTTTGGACTGTTATTTGCAACTTTAAAAATTCTAATAATTTTGAGATAAGCAACTGAACTGCTACTGTGTCATGCTTTGAAATTGATTTAGGTAGAGGTTTACAACACTTGAAATTGTTATCCATCTTAAAAAACTACTTGCTTTTTAACTTGAAACGCTAAGAGAGATGAACTGAATGGAACAGGTGAAGAACGTCCCAATATATATATATATATATGTAGCAGAATAATTACAATGTTGACATTATACCTATCTTCATTAGGTACAATTGATTATAGCAAACTTTTTTAAGTGTGAGTGTAAGAAGCCTCCACGGGGTGCCTTTTTATGTAGTTGTGATATCGCGGGATGAGCTCTTAAGGCACAATATGGTATACGTCAGAGAAGTACCTAGAGAATTTATCTCAATTACAGGTTTAATAACATATTTGTTTACCTGTTTATGTTTTGAGCCTCTGTTATGACATACACAATTCTATCCAGGTAAACAACTAATAGAGGACAGAAAAAAGGCACATGCGTGGGTTTGTTGATTATTTGGGTATATTTGAGAGTATTTACTTATAAACTTGTTTCTTTTCCGCTGCGTCTAAATAGAAACGGGTAAATCTGACAGCTACCATATTTGAGAATGAATTGTTTGGTTTTTAATATATATTCATGGAAAAACATCTCGTTGCTGGACATCACGACTAACATTTGAAAATGGCCCAAAATGTAGAAAATTATTATAATTATTTTTTTTAAATTGCACTAACTTGAGAACGGCTGGACTTAGGATAAAAGTTTTTATATGCAATGTTTTTGAAAACTATGCGCAGAATTCAAATAAATTACTATTTTACTAAAAAATATGCAATTTCACCAATTTATAAAAACCAACAAAAATTTCAAAAATTATAATTTTTTTTTTAAGAAAGTTACCAGCATACACTCTTCACCAAATATTAGGGCATATTTTCTGTTTTCTTGAAAAAAAAAATTTATGAAGATCGAAAGGGGGGTGTTTTGAGATAATCATCGTTTTACGTTTTTTAAATACTAATTTACGAAGTTTTTCTTTCAGTGTATTTTTTTTCCGCAAAGATAATTTAACTACCTAAAACTTCTTGTCATATGCCATTTTGATCAGATCAATAGTTTTCAAGTTATGATGTTTTGAAAAAAAAATAATCCATTTTTTTATACGCCCTTTTCAAAAGTTACTCTGGAGGAAAAAATCATATTTAAATGAAAAATGCAACTATTAGTAGCAGCGAACACGTGAGAAATGTTTCATTCAAATCGGAAACACTCATGACCAACCGGTTTGCGTTTTGGGCTGGAAATGCTCTTAAGTTTTTCTCCCTGCTGTTTGTACTTCAGGCAATCATGCGGAGTATCCTTGCAGTAAACACATTTGGGGGGGTAGTACGACAAGGACCTTCCGTATGAATCTCCCTACATTGATCGCAGCGCGGTTTGTTGGAGCAAAAGCGACACTGACTGCAGTTGGATGCAGTTCAGTATCTGGGGAGGCAACGATTTTTGAAAATGCCGAAGGATTAGGAAATCTTCGCAAGTTAGACTCGATTCGGTGACCACTCCTTCAATTTATACATCACAACTGGGGACGTAGACTCGATACTATATCGAAAAACGCTCGCATGCAACAATCTGGTTGGCCTGCTTTCGGTCATCAATGGTAACGTGCAGTTTGTTTGGCGTCACCTTAAACAGATCGGTAACGGCCGAAAAATGTGTTTTGAATATTCATTTTTTTTTTGGGCCGGAAAAATACAACACAGTCATCAGTCGAGTCATAAGGGTAAGCCTTGTGGCGGGGGGTCGCAGATGTTTTTGGAAGAACAGTTGGAAGAGGTGGCGATTATGGAAAAGGGGGCTGTGGTGCAAAATTTATAGAGAAACAGGATTTGTATCGTACGGGTGGTAATTTATTACTGACTAAATTGCTTATGTTACATGTCCAGTTTTATAGCTGCTGGTTGCTATGTATTTGTTATTTACTTATGCTTAGCAACCAGTTCCTTATACTTATGTACAGTGTTGAAATCAACTGCTTGCTTAGATCTCAACACCCCTCTCAGTTATTTCTTCTAAACCTATCTTATTCCTCAGAGCGGCAAATATCGGTGTGAATAGAGACTTCGTTAGAAAATCAGCCTTTTGCTTCTGGGTGGGAATGTAAATTAATTTTACTTTACCATTAGCAGCTGCATCACGAACGAAGTGGAACCATAGAGGTAAATCTAAGACAAGAATGTCCCGAAGAAACGAGCTCAACTTTTTGGCTCAGCTCTGGTACTACCTTCGGTCCCAAGCTGATCGATTCACCCCTCGAAACATAAGAAAATGCACTAACCCCTCATTTTATCTGTCAAACTTTCATAGCGAATCAAAACAAACATAGTGTAGTACTGGAATTTATACTAGAATGGGGTACGTTAATCGATTTGCTTGGGACCAATAGACTGGTCAAGTAGTGAGCCAATTTAAAACCGTTAGTTTCGAATTGATTGTTGGTGGAACTTTACATCCATGTGTTTGACTCGCTTGGTTTCCTCTCGTTGAGCCATTGTAATCGCTCCTTTGTTGTCATCATAAAGCGGTACTGGAAACAGCGGCGTTTGCACTTGAAAATCAGTCATCAATCCGGTCAACCATATTGTCTCACTTACGCAAGAACTCATGGCAACATACTCGGCTTCTGTAGAAAACATTGCAACTGTAGTCTGCTTCTTCGAGGACCAGGTGACAATGTTTCCATGAATCTTCAGCAAAAACCCGGAAACCCATTTGCGGTCGGTTTCGTCACTAGCAAAATAGGCGTCCACTTAGGTTGGTGGTTCCTTTGGCTTCTTTCTGTAGACTAATCCCATCTCTTTCGGTATCTGCAGCTTGCTTCCAATGCTCTTCACCAGCAGCATCCTGAAATCTTGCCAAGTATCCAATAATGAAGCACAAGTCCAGTTGGGTGCCCATCATGAGGTACATGAGGCTTCCGATGAGTTCACGGTAGGGAAACTCACATCTTCTAGTTGCTCACCGCAACTTCAGCTTCAGTTCAGCTGGCGTTTTAGCAGGATTGCATT